AGGAAAGTTCTCTTTTTTTTGTACCCAAAAAATATCGAACCGTGAGACTAAAATATCGAACCGAACCGTGAATTTCCTGTATCGTTGCACCCCTAGTGAATAGACATAGCAAGTTCAATTAAACCCAAATGTTAAAAGTGTTATGGATTAAAGTACCCAAACAGCTGTAACTGATTTAAAAATAACAAATATTGATGATCTTTCATGGAGGAGCTCTAGGTGTTAACTTCCAGTTGCACTCAATTASATCTTTCTATTTTGGCACTTCAGTCTGTAGAAGGCAGCAAAGCTGAGAAACTGTCAGTACACTTACACTCTTGCATACTATAAAAAAAGTTTGAAGTTTTTCCCAAACAAGAGTTTTGTAATTAAGTGTTAATAGTTTTCTAACAAACAAGAGAGAAAATTCATTGCTCTTTCATCTCAGTAACTTTCAACCATTTGAAAATCCTAGTGCTTACAAAAACACACTGAAAGCTGTTCAACCACTAAATGTGATTAATAAATAAGTGTTTACTACTGGATAAAAGGAAACAAAACAGCCACATTAATATTTAAACACTGAAGTATCTCAAACAAAGAAATCAAATACATACAAGAAACCCAAAGGGTAACAAAATCAAGAGGTGAAAAAAAATCTTAAATAACAGTGAACAGTGACGACTGCTCGCTGTAAAAGCAATCCCTGCTCTGACAGCACAGCAAYCAAAAAGCTTTGATGTTGTCTTTACAGAAATTGCAAGGCTGACTTTTTTTGTTGTTGTTTCTCATTTTAGACCGATTTCTGAGCAGCTTGCTCCTTTCTGTTCCTCTGATTTCAGACTAATCTGATTCATGGCAGCTATATTAATAAACAAGCTTGGAATTCAACGCCCAGCACCTAAAGCCAAAAGGCGATAATCTTTTTTCCCCGTCTGTGCTTTCATCCTATTAAGATGGCTCCACAGCTAAGCAACCTCAGCWAACATAAATATGGTCATAACTCTGGCTTTTTTATGCAAGGAGATAAGATTTGGTGTGGTAGTAGCTGAGAGTCACCCCCATCACAAACTCCAAGTACTACTCATTATGCAAGAGCTTTGCATAGTGTTTGTGACAGCAAATTTTCATCATAAATACAAATGCATTTTTAACACTAATAAATACAAAATGCCCCTCAGTTTTGTTGTCTTGTTTTATTTATTTATTTATTTATTTATTTATTTATTTATTTATTTATTTATTTATTCAGTTGTCTGCAAAAAAATAATCTAACTTCTACATTTGTTGTTTGCTATGATTGTAGCACAGATAATCACACAACATGTGTTTTTGTATAAATAAAAAGAGACTTGATCACTATGGCTGAGGAGGAGGCTTTTCACAGATTAATGTAATATCCTGAGGTAGACAACAATCCCTACCAAGACCCCAGGTGGCACATAGCACTGATAAATATTATGAAACAACAAAAGGAACTGAAAAGAGCAGCTCTGGCCTCAAATAACTAAAGAAAATARCAACATTTGTTATCGCTCAATAGCTAACAGAAAACGTCACATCTGTAGACAGACAGCTTAAATTCATTTGGTTTATAATCTAACACAGAGGCAGAAAGGAAGTTAGTTATTTACATAGCTGGAAAACACTGATTAGGGCTCAGTTTGAATTCCAAATATTGAGTTGGGTGAATTGTTGCAGAATCATTAAAGAGTCCAATAATCCAACCGTTTTTCAACCTCTGGTTAAATGTGCGTATTTGAAAACCCTTTTTTCACAACAACAGAGGAAAAACAACAAAGAGGCAAATATCAATAAATGCAAACAATTTCTTGTCTTTTTCAAACTTACTTCCTACTCACCACACAAAAAAAACACCACAGGAAACTGCATTTCCTTTATTCAGTCTTTTAAAGAATACTCATCCTGTGAAARACCAGACTGCAATGTTATTTGAAAGCAAAGTTTGGCTATTGAAATGCAAAAAAAATAAAGTACAAAAAAATTACTGAAGGTCAGAAATGTCTGTTTGAGGAAAAATTGCACTTTTTATTATTAGTTTAAAAGTCACAAACAAACTATGATGATGTGAGATGTCACAAGTCCCAAGATTTAGAAATTTAATGCCCCCCCGTGTTTTCTCAAATTTATTTGAAAAGTGGCTAAAGATTGTTGGAAGGATGTTGTGTTGTAATTAGCATATCCATTTTGCCACTGCATCCTATTTGCATTTTTTTCCTAGTGACAGTTGTGGTCAGCCTTTTACAACTGGACGCTCCTGTCTCATCACTGCTACCATGCTGCATTTTAAAACACCTGAATTCCTAATAAAGTACTTCTCATTTACATAATTTTTTTTTCTGTTTCTGTTATCAGACGTTGTAATAAGTCTCCAATAGTGAAACACCACACTTACCACAAGCTAACCAAAAGTGTCATCGAAGCAACTTTCAGGTTTTTAGTTTGTGATCTGATTTTACAAATGTAAATGGCTGGCAAAATTGGCATGTGAGATCATAGCTGTGGTGTGATGTAGGGTTTACAAAGAAAATCAATTACAAATTTCATCTGCACAACTGAATGTGTTGAAAATTGCAAAAGTGAAAGTGAATCCACTTAAGAAAATTTAACCCAGAAGGATTTAATGGATTTTGCTGGTGACTCTTAGACATAAAGTAGCAAAACCTACAACTTTATGCCACTGGGCACCTTCCATTTAGCAAGACTAATGCACAATTCARGGTCCACCCTCTGCTCCATTATAATCAGTCATCTGTATTCATATTCACAAAGAAAGGATTTAGATGTAGATTTTGGCCTATARGTGGATGACATTTAACTCTATATTCAAATCAAACACAACAACMCACATCTCTGACAAAGTTATCAAAATAAGCTGAACAGAAAAAGTGGTCACATATTAGCAAAAAGAGAGAATATGGTCTTGACTACAAACAGCTGTGTWACAAAATGACAAGGCATTGGACATCTGTTACTGACTTGGTGGTAGGGTTGGGTGAAGTGGTARGGTATGCAATTAACTGTCTAACTGTCAGTAAAACTGTCAACAATTAACATTTGCCACTTTGCAATTACTGCAATTACAGCCATGTGATGACGTATTTTAGTATCACTATGCATGTGAGCCTAATGGTCAACGGTGGTGCCAACCCTTACCCTACAAACCTGTTTAAATGCCTGAAACACTGGCATAAAGTGGAGTACAAGGAAAGCCAGAAAATGTGGACCAAGACCACAACGCTGGCCACAAGCAAGTGTAATTGTCATCTATTCATCATATTAATTGTTTTAAGCTACATGTCACAATTGCCAATATTGTCCAAATTTGATGATCAGAATAATCTTCTCTTCAACATTAACAGCACGTTGGTCCCAGTGGGAGATACATGTTATTTCCAACATGGAACTTCTCACTAGTAAAAAAAAAGCATATATCAGGCTTTGCTAAGAAGCCAAAACATAAAAATAACAGGAAATTTGTTGYAAGACTAAGGTGAAACCAGGAATTCATTGTCAATAGGAAAATAAGGGTCTGACATAAAAACAAACAAGGGARAGAAAACACTGTCCTGAAGGAAGGCAAATATCTTTTTTTCAGCATCAGAAATCACAGTCAAAAGTGCCCTAATTTCTTCCTGCATTCTTCATATTGTGCATTCCTCCATAACTTCTTATGTTTTTTCCTTCTCCTGTCAACGGTACTCCTCAGTTACATCAGTCACATATCTTAAAGTCCCACACTCTGCCTCAACGTCCTCCTCTCTTTCCCCATTCCTCCCACCATCTCATTAGTTCTGCATCTGGTGAAGAAGTGCAGATAGCAGCTTATGCATCAGCAAGTAGGTCATCATCTCATGCACCTTCCAGCCATTTTGTCTTGGGATAAAGGACAAGAGAGAAGGGAACACGTTCACAGAGTGCAAGAAGATACGTTTATTAACACCTACAGGCTTGAATGAGTTCATTTTGACACCGGCATGCTAGCAGGATTGGCAATGGGCACAACACTGTGCTGGTTTTATTTAAATATGTGAACTCACCACATGCGGAGCGTTGACTGGCCTTACAGAATTAGGAAGACCCAGAACTTTTGTTTAAAAAAGTGAATTAAAATTATTTATTAACCTTTATTTAACCAGGCAAATTCCATTGAGACAGATCTCTCTGGGCCTGAAGGCAACTTAACTTGAAYGTTTTTTGTATTTTTTTATTTAGATTTATTTGAATAAGTTGAATTTGTCCTGAGTGTTGGCAAAATGAGAACATCTTGTGTTGTTTTAATGCTGAAATAGCACTCCCAGCTTTCATAGTTAATTTGAACCTGAATATGTTGCACTTATCTCKAACTTTTCAATTCTATACAATGCACAATAAGTGTTTAACAGCCCAAAAATCCTTTTTTGTCATCAGAATACAGCATTTCAAGGCTTTGGATGTTAAAAAAWTTGCTGACAGAAAACACTTCTGAATGTTTTTGAACATCAACAAAAACAAYACTTACTTTCTGTTCTTTTTCTCTGCAGTGCTAAAAGTGTCTAAAAGTGTTGACACCAATATTGTAGTTTACACAATGTTTTACTTTTTATATTTAAGTAAAAAAAGTTTTTTTAAATAATAAAATTTACTTTGGCTTAGTAAACAGAGATAGTATTGGCAAGCATAGCTGAATAATAAAAGAAGCAATTAAAATATAAATAGATATAACAACATTATGCCATAGAGGTTTGATTTAACAACTYGAGATGTCAAGTATTAAAAATTCTCATTAAAAATTCACAAACTCAAGCTGACAACACTGCTGGAACTGAAACTTGGAGTGTGGAACACTGAGCTTGCTATGTTTGACTGCATAGGTTATTCAATGTCAAAGTAATCAGTACATCATTTAAAAAGTGCACAGCCTAATGGTACTTGGAGCCACTTTGTTTTAAGTCGTTCCTGAAGGTACCCATTTTGGCATGGATTTTGGCACGATGTCTCTGCCTGACGGCCAAGTCTTTTTTTTATTATTTCAGTCATAGCTTCCTGTCCAATAATCTGTCTCCTTTTTTCTGTCTGTTGGTCCTATCAGTTTGTTTTATTTATTGATTTCAGCTAAAACCATTGTCTTTCCAGCTCTATTTTTGCATCTTGATCTRGTTTGTTTAGTTGTTTTGTCTTGTGTAGTACAAAAATTAAATATTGCAGTGCTAGCTGAGAAAAAAAAATCCTACTTGAGAGAAAATGTTTACTTCAGTCATTTATGTAAACAAATTAGAATATTTTAAAAATGCCACTGCTATACACTGTCAGCAATTCTACATAGTACCTTCCTCAGACAAAACCTGAACCTGAAAACTACATTATGCTGCGATTATCTCTTTGCATTTATCTTTGCAATACTTTACTGAATAAAAATGGTAGATGACAAACTTYGAGGGCAAAACAAACAATAAATAACTGTAAACATCTTACTTTTAATTTCATGTGTCCAAGAAAATGTTTTGTTCATTTGTACTTAATTATGAAATGCTAAATACCTAAAAGAAGTAAGTCAGTAAGGATAACACATCATCAAAAGAAGAAAATGAGAATATAAAGTAAGATTTTAAAACACCTTAGGAGTCACTATTACTTACATCTTGGAAAAGACGCCGGTCTTGCGCCAGGCGCTTGGATGCGAGKGTTTTGGTGACATGATAGAAGGTTAGCAGCGCTCTATGCTGCTGCAGGCCATCTTGACCCTTTACAGACTCAATCAGAATTGGAATGAGCTCCGGCCATTGCCTCGGGCAGTCCAGACGGGCCACCTTGGCTATCAGTACTGCGATCTGGGTTGCTATCTGTTGGGAGAAAAAAATAATAACAACAGGGAGGGAAAAAGCACAACCCGAGGCTAACTATTAACAAAAAAGAAGGCAGTTATGCTGTAAGGAAAACTTAACTTAGAGGAAACTGATCTTTATCTAAAAGATTTCTAATCTGTTGTAATTCTATTTTGAATGTCTTTTGAAAAATTTAGACAGATGTATCAGAAAGCTAAGGTGACAAATTTTTATGGGTTTCTCAAAGTGTATTATTTCCCAATCTGTAAAYTAAGTTATTCACTAAACTATATAATCTAAATTAAACAATTTGACTGCATTATGATTTTATTTGCCATGAAAATCCAAAGTCTTGCATTGTTTGTGGAATGAAAACTAATTTACACCAACATTTTTCCAATCATTGATAAGTTATTTTGTTTTCCAAATAACTCGAGTATGGTAATAAAATGTAATTYTAAAACTTCTGAACGTAACTTGCTGACAAACTGGAACAGTCACACAGTCAAATAAAACACACCGTGCCTTCTGGAGTTTCAATTTTAAGAGAAAAGAATGTGACTGGTGAGCTGAATGGTGTTTAAATCATATTCATTGCTTGTCATATAGGCCCCATCAGTCCCCGCGTTCCACAGCCYTCCCCACAGGGAAGTCCAACCTGTAAGAGGCAGGCTGGATGGCCACTGTTTAGGGCCACCTTCCATGCCCCCTCAGTCAGATGTATTACATATGATGCCCTTTTTCAGAGTTACTTGTTTGTTGCTGTATTTCAGAGAGTAAAAATGTATGATTTATTACAAAAATGTTTCACATGAAATTTAAACTTGAACAGTTGGGAGTTTAAAATCATTATTTTGAACCTTGTTTAGCAAAACAAACACCTGTTATTACAGATGAACTAATCACAAAGGCTTTCAGTCCCATTCTGTCTACATTGCACAATTTTGCAAAAGGTAGTCTTGATAAGAAAGTAAAACATCTTTTTTATTATTATTTCTTTCTTCTCAGTTGATCCCATTTTCCCCACTAACCTGATTGACAGGCTCATTGAAGTTTGTAATAAGACCAGCTCGCAGTGAAGTCTTCTCCTCTTCTGATAATGCACTGTGAACAAAGCAATCGGAGATATTCAGAGAAGGTAAGGAGGCATTTTTAAAAAGTGCTCCATAATGCAAAACTGTGTGAGATGTTTTTTTTAATAATGCATACATTAGAGTACAAGAGCAGGCAATTAAAGAAGGCTGAAATTTTAACCCAGGTTAATCTGGCTGAAGGTGAATTTCTTCCAACTCAGCATTGTGACAACAGGGTGCCAGACGGACTGGCACTGCTGGATGTATCTTATATCCTAAGAGACTCCTTATGACCTCATTTCCTTTTCTATACATGCAAACCAATTTATCTCACTGACAACATGGTGAAGACCTCAATTTGCAAACTTATAATGGGACCAATTTAATCATGAAAATGTGTTAGATTTAAAGGAATTATGCAAATGCATCCTGTTTGCACTTGGTTATTATAGGCAAGCATAGTTCCATCTGTAGAATGAACAAAAAGCAAACAACGTTTCTGTTTGAACAGAAAAAAAACACTGATACCAAGTTGGGAAAATATTTAACCTGGCACCCTTAAATGGATAAATTATACTCTCAATTTAATATACAAATGAATGACACATTAAATAAATAAAGTGTCTACATTAATTGTGAGACATTACTTGCTGCCTGCTAAGATTCAACATGACTTTGTGATTCTGCTAGTCAGTGAATCTCTACAGGAAGGACGGAACAGCATCTATCTAAAAGATAAAAATGCTGTTTTCCATGGGTGTTGCATTGGGTCAGAGCGGTTCCTGAAGGTCATAAAATTCAATTCACATATTTTGCTTCTTCAAACAGTGCAGAAATGCCTGGTTTGCTATGTATGAGAGCACTGTGGTCATTTAAAAAAAAACTTTCCCATAAAAATATAAAAAATGTCTTAAAAAAGTCTTAAAAAATAAAATGTCTTTAAAAATATCTTAAAGTAAGCATGTTGATTCAGAATAACTTTTTGATTTATAAATGCTTTCCTCCTGAGGAGGGGGGGATGCTGATTATCCAAAATAATTTATCACTCTTCAATATAAATATTAACTAAATAAAACGAACTGCAGGAAAACTATTAAGATAAAAAAAAAAGATGTCAGTTAACTGTCATTGCATTAGTTATGTCATTCATAAATTTTACTGTGGTGTCATAGAAACTGTCCTGGATACATTAGCTGTTTATAATACTGTCTGTTTGCAATTAACAGTTAATTTACTTACTGTAGTTATGAGGAATTAATCAGAAGTTGGCTTTACTTTTCTGAAACTCTTGAATTACTTTTTTTAAAATTTCTCTTTTTGTTGCTTGCAGTTTTTATGTGCTGAAATCTGGGAGACGTCTGCCTGAAGATGCCAGATGAGCTAAAAGCATTATAATATAAATATTTAAAGCTTTATGCATTTTGGCTATTTTAGAGATGTGTTTTATTTCTCTTGTGCATTTGCTTTACTGTTTACATCAGATGCACAATAACTATAGCTCTGTCTGTGATGAAACAATTTACATGCTTTTGTGAAATGAAACTGTGTAGTGAAAAAGACAAAACTGAGCTAAATTAATACTGCTGTTCTCACATTTAGTAAATGTAAAGGTGTATTTTGAAATGCATAAAATTGGGCCAAAATAGGCCATTGCTGAGTCTTTAAAAAGAAAAAAAAAAGAGTCATTATGTCAAACTCCCCCTTTTTTTTCGCAAATGCCATAAACTCCTGCTCACTCCAGAGTCACTGTAAGAGTTTAGGATTGTGGACAACATTGCATGATCACAAATAACTGCCAAAAGTTTGTATTATATCTTAACTATATACCTAAAACCACTTTTTAAAATCTACCAGCTTTGAGCTCATTTAACTGAAGTAAAATTTAAAATAATCCAGAGTCTTATGAATGAAAATTTGAAACTTTCTTTGGAAATCATCGTCTCTCTGTGATGGAGAAGCAAAAGCCCATCTGTACTTTTATCAGCGCACACTTAAAAGCCCAAGTCAGTGATGGTATGTGGGTGCATTAGAGCATAAGGAAAAGGTAACGTGCACATCTGAGGAGCCACCATTAATGCTGTAGGGTATACAGGTTCAGACAGGGGAGATACACTCACCGGCCACTTTATTAGGTACACCACGCTAGTAACGAGTTGGACCCCCTTTTTCCTTCAGAACTGCCTCAATTCTTCGTGGCATAGATTCAACAAGGTGCTGGAAGCATTCCTCAGAGATTTTGGTCCATATTGACATGATGGCATCACACAGTTGCCGCAGATTTGTCGGCTGCACATCCATGATGCGAATCTCCCGTTCCACCACATCCCAAAGATGCTCTATTGGATTGAGATCTGGTGACTGTGGAGGCCATTTGAGTACAGTGAACTCATTGTCATGTTCAAGAAACCAGTCTGAGATGATTCCAGCTTTATGACATGGCGCATTATCATGCTGAAAGTAGCCATCAGATGTTGGGTACATTGTGGTCATAAAGGGATGGACATGGTCAGCAACAATACTCAGGTAGGCTGTGGCGTTGCAACGATGCTCAATTGGTACCAAGGGGCCCAAAGAGTGCCAAGAAAAGATTCCCCACACCATGACACCACCACCACCAGCCTGAACCGTTGATACAAGGCAGGATGGATCCATGCTTTCATGTTGTTGACGCCAAATTCTGACCCTACCATCCGAATGTCGCAGCAGAAATTGAGACTCATAAGATCAGGCAACGTTTTTCCAATCTTCTCTTGTCCAATTTCGATGAGCTTGTGCAAATTGTAGCCTCAGTTTCCTGTTCTTAGCTGAAAGGAGTGGCACCCGGTGTGGTCTTCTGCTGCTGAAGCCCATCTGCCTCAAAGTTCGACATGTTGTGTGTTCAGAGATGCTCTTCTGCCTACCTTGGTTGTAACGGGTGGTTATTTGAGTCACTGTTGCCTTTCTATCAGCTCGAACCAGTCTGCCCATTCTCCTCTGACCTCTGGCATCAACAAGGCATTTCCGCCCACAGGACTGCCGCTCACTGGATGTTTTTTCTTTTTCGGACCATTCTCTGTAAACACTAGAGATGGTTGTGCGTGAAAATCCCAGTAGATCAGCAGTTTCTGAAATACTCAGACCAGCCCTTCTGGCACCAACAACCATGCCACGTTCAAAGGCACTCAAATCACCTTTCTTCCCCATACTGATGCTCGGTTTGAACTGCAGGAGATTGTCTTGACCATGTCTACATGCCTAAATGCACTGAGTTGCCGCCATGTGATTGGCTGATTAGAAATTAAGTGTTAACGAGCAGTTGGACAGGTGTACCTAATAAAGTGGCCGGTGAGTGTATGTGCTGCTATTCAGATGTTTTGATCAAAGAAAACTTTTTTATTTCAGATGGAAAATGGCATACTACATTACACATTCAATAAAATAACAGCACTGTAATAAAAAAAGAAGTCTGGATAAATTTCCCAGGCAGCAGTCCAAGCTTGTCTTGTTTTATTTTGAAACAAAAATGTTCACATATACAAAAAAAACTAATTTTGAGCATCTGAAATCTTGCACTGAGAACAAATTTTAAAAAGAGGGAAACAATTTTGATTTCAAAACAACTCCTGGTCTTTTTAATTCCCAAACACTTAAGGACAGTTGTTAAGAGCTAACAGACGATAGTGAAAAGTGACCCTATCAACAGCTTTTCAAAAGTGTTGCTTATTAAATATAAAAAAGAAAACATATTTTTTCCAAAAATCATCAAATTAGTTATATAGTTGCAATATCTTCTGTTTAGCAACCACTGCAAAAATAAATTGTTTACAAATCATCCAGTAACTTCGGAATTAAGATTTTATTGTGTGAAAAGAATCAAACTGACAACAAAAACTTTGCTGAGTCTTCATATAGTATTTAAATACTGAATAAACAGCTACAGCCAAATTGAATCACATTAATAATATTGGTTCAGTTTATTGAACTTCTGAGAAAAGTAAGTAAACTTCAGAAAATAGAAAAAACGTTCAAAAGAGAACGGCAACAATTCCAGGTGGTCATGGAGTGCTGAGGACAAACTGATCACCCGTGGCAAACTACCGCCATATAGTTTAAACGCAAATCCAATTTTGATCTGATGTGAAAAGCTAATCAGATACCCAGTTGGTCTCACATATCTAAAATCCAACTAAATAAGCACAAAATAGTAATCCAAGTATAAAATCAAAGCATCATGACGTGAAAAAAAGAGATGACAGCTGTAAAAAGTTGAGTAGACAGAAGTTATAACCAGTGAGAACTAAGATAAAAGGAAAATGAAGGCAATAAGAACGAACTAAGAACACTTGAGCCTCAAAAAACAGTCAAAGAGATTAGGAGAGATGAACAAAGGAGAGTACATCAGTGGATAAGACGGTGTAAAGACAYGACACACTACAGAGATAAAAAGGCTTTAGATGCAGGAGTGAGTGTGGAGCTGAGGAGGGAACAGGGAGACATGCAGGTACTTACTGAGGGGCCACTCTCCTCCAGTATCTGTCAATGCCGTTTTTAAAGTACAGCACAGCCAGCCACCTGACGTTCACAGCCAGCATGTGGTTATTGAAGATATTCTGAAGGGAAAAAAGCACATATTCCTCACAAGTTCAAACAAGCAATAAAAAGAAAATTCAAGGATTGACCCAATTTAATGATGTGTAACAGTTAAAACTGCTCCACAAAAGGAGGGGTCATGACTCCAAACCCAACTAAAGTATAATGACAGTACAGTGATACCATCAGGTAAGGCTTATCAAAAGTATGGTGACTTTGTAACCAAGGCTGCTTGTGTAGTTTTACTTCCTGTACCTACTTACATGCCTGAGCTTTAAAATGTAGACATAAATCCAGAAAATATAGCTGAGTACACCCTGTGTTCAGCGCCATTTGCCTTGACACAGCAAAGGCTGGAGCACAATACGATGCAGCACAAGTAATATCAGAGATTGGAATCTTGACTCTCAGACTTTCAAGTTACTTTTTTTTTTTGCTTTGTAAAAATATAAAGCATCTATCAGTTGCATCATGGGAACAACATATACCTTTAGCAGCATAGCCCAGCATAAATATTATTATTAGTGAAAATTTCACACAAGATGCCATGGGGAGGAATTGATCTCATGCCCTGTGGATCGATTTTCCCACTTTAAATGAAATTGATCCAAGATCGATTAAATCGATTTTTTTACCCAGCCCTAGTGACGGTAATAAAAGATTATGGCAGTWTTAGTAACTTAAGGTGATGCACCAAATTTCCACAAGGCTGCTATGAAAACTGGGACATAAACATTATAGGCTCTTTCAGAAGACAACCTGTAACATTATTAACGTGTGTTCTGACTACCTCATGCAGCCATTTCTCCAATAATTACTAATTACTCAACACACCACAGACTACTACACGCCACTGAACTTCATCCAGCCCAGGTTTTCACCACCAGGTCCTTTGTAAGAATCTGTTCATATGCGTCATTTTCTATAAATTTTGACTTAAATGAAATGCTACACACCACTGGTACTTCCATTTTAAACAATACACCACTACTGACAAAATAAATAAAACATTCTTTCCTATGAATAGTTCTTTGTGCTTAGCTAGACCGAGCCCACACTGGGCCAATTTCTTCGCAAACTGCATGGAGATGAAAAGTGAAATTCATCATATTATTAGAGCCTGACGAGAAGAGTAAACAAATATATTTTATTTCCTAAAATAGCAGAGTAATCTCTCTGGTGGAATAAACTGTGAGCTGACTTTTCAACAACCCTTGCATATTGACAAAAGCCATCTGTGTCTCAACTTTCTGCAAATACATMTTAATGAATCCATTCAATAGAGATTTGAAGAATTCTGCCTGCAATCCACCACACTTTGTCTTTAACATTATTATAGCTTCTTGCTGTCATCACAAGTTATTGTGTTGTCACTCGAAAGAAGAACATATTAACTCTGAATTTGTTCTTGTTAAACTGATTACGAAATATTCCCCTTCAAATAAAAGCTAATCTTAGGGGGGAAACTGTGCCCTGCTTTCTGCTTCATACATCATATTTAAACGAATGTCTAGAGTTGAGATGATTGTATTTCACTGTGACATACTGACTCACCAGAAGAACTGAATAGAAGCCTGGCTGGGTCTCCCACTGTCGGAGTTGCTCCTCTGCAGGCTTCAGTACTGCCGTGTCCTGACTGGTAGCTTGGGTTAAGGCCTGCAGCACCACAGAACTGGCACTGTCCATATCCATAGCTGGATATATCTACAGAGAAATGAGGACAAGTCAGGCAAATGTAGAACTATTTGTGTGTGTGTGTGTGTGTGTGTGTAGGAAATATATTTATATCAACAGCAAGCTATGGAGGTCAATATACAGTACATACCAAAAATGTCAAAACAAAAAACAATTGCTTACATTATTTAACTGTAATATTACCCCATTTTATCAAAGATCAAGCAGTGAAACCTCTGTGGAAGACAGTGAGAAAGAAACAGTTCCTCTAAACAAAGAAAGGCATATCTCACAGAAAACAGTTGGTGTCGTCTCTGCCATGTACGTCCCAYATATTATTTAAGCACCCCAGTTTCACGCATCCAAAGGTGTTTTTCAGTCTCAAAAAATCTGCTCGACTAATTTGCCACTGTGCCCCGGGTGAAAAGAACTGTTTGACAGATGGAAAGATAAACCGATGTCTAGCTCAGCCTACAATGAGATTAGGAGTCCTTGTTAAAAATAAAATGAAATAAAAAAACACTGACATTTTCATTTAAAAACATAAATGAAGAGGAAAAACATGTTTCTTCCCCTACCAAAAACAAACTCAAATACAAAGTTTCTGGCAAGACTACATGTTAACATTTGCATCTCATAGTCTCTCATAGTCATACATTCTCTTGGGGGAATGCCCCCACCCCCACCCCACAAACCTGCAAGATTATTTTAGTAAATTTCTTCAAAAAATGACTGACTGAGTAGAATAGAAAGTGTTTTATWGGTCTCAGTGGAAGTGGGTAAATATATGAAACAAGGCTGCCATCTACAGCTCAAACCTAAATACTCAGCACCACAGGAAATAAGACTCTCAGGAATTATATGCATTAGGGCAACCTCATTCTGAACACAAGAATACCATGACAGTAATGTGGCTACAGCTGTTGGATGTTGAGAAATGACTGAAGAGCATGAATAATTTATGCTAATAACTCTTTAAGAGGCTGGTCTATTCTAAATGCATGATCACAGTAAGACCAGACGTACTTGACTCTTGATCATTAACAGCAGGTATGCTGTTACACACAGGTCATTTTCCATGTACAACAACATTAAATTCAAGCTGTAATACAACAGGGACTATGATTAATCCACATAAGCTTCAATATTTTGATAGGATTAGTAGTCTTGGTTACAATGCTAATTCTAGATTTATAGCACCTCAAGCCCAGTCAAGTTTGAAACCAGTGAGGGGTGAATAGAATAGTACAGTTAATCTTTGCTACAATCAATCTTCTACTGAGAAACTTAAGTTTATGGAATCCATATCATGCTATTGTTGTCATCAGCTTTGTACACACTGATGCAGACCAAATATACAAATGTGCCGTTGTGTCAACTAACCAGCAGGTACGATCAAGTAGTTAGTTTTTCTCCTTTTTCCTTTAMATGAGGAGTAAAGTGACAGCAGTGGATCGTAGCATTACAGGGAAAACTTATCTTTAAAAGCTCACGCTTGCGTTTGTAATCAGCATTTTTAACCTGAGGATATTCAAGAGCCAGTCAGAAATGAGAAGACGGAGGCTACAAAAGGGAAATGTACAATTATCCCCTTCATTGCCAAGACGAGAAAGGAAAGACCTCCTTCACACGACAGCTAGCAGGAAGCTAACAGCAGCCGATACAGGTAGGTGTGTGTGTGCGCGTGTTTGTGTTATACAGAGTATGAAATGTTTTAGGCAACTTTGGTGGATATGGAGGTGGATATGGAGGGATGCAAAAAATAGTTCTCAATTTGATCTGGCCTTATTTAAATAAAAATGACTACATGCCGTAAAATTTTTAGAGGGACGGGCCGTCTCGTTGGCGGGGGGGCCCGCCCCCCTTTGCATAATGGTAGGGGAAACGCTGGATGCAGTTGGAAAACATTTGTTATCCTGTAATTAGAAAAGGTAGCAATGAACTTCTCCTCCCCACTTCTTTCTGTTGATAACTTCTACACCAGTCCTGTACTGTTCAATAACTGACATCCCATCACAATGCTGCATGTTGAAATCAGATACGTGTTGGCTTTCTGAAAACAATTGAAGAAAATTATAGTTTTTACAGATTAGTACTGATTGAAGACTCTATGAATGGATCAACTTCCTGGTTTTTCAGCAYTGTGTGGTTTCCTGTCAGATCCGAATGGCATTAAATCCTCACTCCCAGAATTCTGGTTTTGTTTGGTTTTATCTTGTCCAACAATCATATTATTTAACATTGGTGGTTTTCTACTGACTTCAGTCTTTGAACACGAATGTTCTTACAGTTAATGGTGACCCCGACGCTTGTCTGAAGGTCGTGCAGGAAACTGCGGTGTTGAGGCTAAAGGCTGCTAGCATTAGCAGGCCTTTGTAATCGACGTGCGGTCTGGTCGCAGGACAAAGGTGAACAAAACTCTTTTTTTGCTTTCCATCTGGTTTACCGAACTGAACGATGTGGCTATCAGTGTTTGTTGTGGGCTGGGCTGTATGCGGGGGAGTTCAAACAGCCTCGCTAGGTGTTAGCGTTGCTGGGCTAAGGCTGTGTGTCAGCTTAACGACGGCGTGTCGTTCGGCGTCAGTGTGGCCAGGGGTACGATAATTATCGTATTTGTAGGATAATTTTGCCCTTTGTACGATGTACGATCAGTAATTCCAAGAATCCCATAATGTATGATAATTTGATCGCTTCGGAGTGTGACGTAATCGACCCGACATGCTGCTCACGGACATGAGAGGTGGCGCGTTGTGGAACACAGCGATGCCGAGTTAGCAACTTTCTCGCTATATATACAGACTTTTCAGACCCTCTAGAGACTGTTATTCAGAAAAGAAACTGGTGAAAATCTAGCGACTCTATTTCTGGCGTTATAAAGACTGAGAGACTCTGCCGTGAACACATTTCTCCATGCGGCTGCTGTGGGCTCCTCCTCCCCGGTCCCAGAGCACGACAGGAGACTTCATCACGCTGCGTCTCTCTCCCTGCTGAAGGCAGATATCCATCACATCCAGATATGAAATGCATACTGCTGCTGCTGACTGATCCATGATGGGATGTTAATAAAACATTTCTATGATTAAAATAGATCCCTTTGCTGGTCCCAAGCCGATAGTAAGGAGGGTTAGAGTTATGACAGTAGAATAAAACAAATTATATTAATCTATATATTTTTTTTTAAAAAGGGAGCAACAGAAGTAACTTTATTTTTTGTTCTCTTGACAAACTACTGTCTCTAAAGAAAAGATTAGCTGCCACGATGCAGTCACCAATGTGTTTATTCTATTTTTATTTTTAACCTATTAAAATGCTACTGCTTAGGCTACCAGCTGGTCAAAGAATCGAACGTCCAATGTGAGACAACAAGGACGATTCATATATTGAGTTGAATGTACAATCTGTCTCTAAAATAGTTGAATGTACAATCTGTCTCTAAAATAGTTATGAAAGTGTTTATTTATGTAGTTTAAAATATGTTTAACAACTTGCAAATACCCCAGAATGCAGGAAACAGCACCCACATTATAGCAGTAAGGATAAATATAACAGTAGCATTTATGTGAAAGAACTAATAACTGTAACATCAAAAGAACAGCTGGGACTGAGAAGMTGAGGAGTATAAGCAACATTTACATTTAATAATGTCCAAATCAGCCGAGAGAGGCAACATGAGGTGGCTGGAGAAAGATGGACGGCTGTTTGTGAAGTGAAATAACACCAAGGAGGTGACAATATGCAGCACATTCCACAAAGCCTACAGAGGAGCCATCGTGCGGAAAAGAGTAAAGGAGGAGCAGTGGTGCGTCAAGGACATTGATGTTCCTGATCATGTGAGGGATTACAATAAGTTCATGGAAGTAATGGACTTATCGGATGCCCTCATCAAGTATTACACCATTATTACACCTCTTTTTCATCATTTCATAGACATCTTTAGGGTGAAATCTTTTATCCTGTTCAAGATGTTGGCTACTGGAAGAGGAGAGACTCTTCTTTCACAGAGGCAGTGCAGGGAGGTATTCATGAAAGAACTCACAGATCAGTCTAAAGCTGCTGTTGCTGGACCTGCTTTAAAACCTGGTTCTTCTAACATCTGCATTTCAGCATATCATACTCTGAGCGCCYCTGAAAAATGTTGCAATCCTAATAACTGCAATTACCACTTTTAAAATGACAATCAAGCAAAAAGCAGGCTGTACATTATATTAAAGTGAAAACCTTTACCTTGCTGAGTCAGACCAGAACATGCAAGTTTATGTATACTTCAATAAAAGGCCACTTAAAAATAAGCTGTTATTACAACTAACTAAAATAAGAAAAATGGGTCTAATTTGTCAACATTTTAAAAACAAAATTTAATTAACTGAAGATTTTAGTGATTGCTTTTACAGAAAGGAGTCATGAGAAAATTCATTTAGGAGATTAGAGGATATCAACTTTTTTGAAATGCAAAGCAGGCAAATATAAATATATTTACAAATATACACTGAACACAGACAAATATAAACTGAACACTGCAAAATAATTTTCAGCCTTCATTCAAGGCACACTGTCACTTTAAACCTATCTTCTTTAAATGATTCTTATTTTTTTAATGAAGAATCAATATCAGTAGAGTTTGTGCATTAGAAGCATTAAACAAAGACTAAATCATCATTTTTATGCACGCAAAGCCTGACAAAAGAAACTTTGTTGGATTTTGTTTTTTTGTGCCACATAACAAAAAAGTGGCTAATTTCACTTTAATTGTAAATGTCTCTGGCCAACAATGTTCAGTTTCCATATACTGTATTAGCGGGGCGGCTGTGACAGAGTTTTAAGGGAGTCGTCCTGGAACCGGAAGGTCACTAGTTCGATCCCCGTCCAGCCGTCTCAGTCGTTGTGTCCTTGGGCAAGACACTTCACCCACCTTGCCTACTGATGGTGGTCAGAGGGTCCGGTGGCGCTGGTGCATGGCAGCCTCGCTTCTGTCAGTGTGCCCCAGGGCAGCTGTGGCTACAGTGTAGTTTGCCATCATCAGTGTGTGAATGTGTGTGTGAATGGGTGAATTGTCTGTTTGTGTAAAGGTCTCGACACACGGGAGGCGACGTCACTCACTCTCCATTCATTTCCTATGGAGCCTGTGCAGTGAGGCGACAATCGCTTGCCCTCCTCCAGCTAGGCGACTGGCGAAAATAGTGCATGTGAAATTTCGCGCTTGTACACGTGCACACGCGAGCTTGCGACGTGACATATAAAAGTTGACAAATGTTCAACTTTTGTCGCTTAGCGTACAACCAATCAACGAGGGTTTCATTGACTGACCAATGAGAGGAGAGTATGCTACATACTCCCGTTAGCTAACACTTTCACCAAGTGATTACTAAAAAGCTTTATGGGAATTTATTGGCACCAGGGTGAAGTTTATGGTAAGTTTTTCCTCATAAAACTGTWTCTTTATGTGTGTTTGTTTTTTAATATCATTAGCATCGCAAGATTTGTTTAGTTTACACGTCCGTAATGCACACCTGCCTTCAGAGTCAAGAACCAATCAAATTTTGTGAAGACAAGCGACCTGAGAGCGCGATTCGCAACGCTGCGATCGCTATCGCGWCCCGTGTGTCGGGTTTCACCCTGGCTGCGATGACGGCCGTTAATCGCTGTATTTTTTCGCTCCCCGTGTGTCGAGCCCTTAAAGCGCTTTGGGGTCCGGAGGGACTTGAAAAGCGCTCTATAAATTCAGTACCATTTACCATTAGCAAAAACAATCAAAAAGCTTAGAGAACAATAACAACATTTAATTAAAAATCACTCAAATGTAAAGTTAATATGACACAAAGCTAAGACTGGATTTTTAATGAACAATTTTTTTATCCAAAAGCATTGAGGAAGGATCAGAATGATTATGCAAAGCAATAACAAAGCATACAATCACACAATGGTGATGAATAAACTTCATTGTTTGTGTGAAATTGAAATATGTTGTTTGAAATAGTTGGGAAGTTAACTTATTTTAGTTATCCTATACTGACCCCAAAAGGCAAACTGATATGTAAYTAAGCTGCATCGTCACAGTCAGTTCCTACTATTCACTGCATCTATTTTGCTAGGTGGTGCTGTCAATTTCAGGCTGCAGGAAAACATCTTTACAGTGTGTGCCACTGTAAAGAGACATCAAAAGGAAAAGAGAAGTCATAAAACACTGCCACAGGGGGGTTTACGAGATCCTAAATCTCCTAAAATCTAACATTTGTGCAATGGAGGACAAAGGTCCCAAAACAAAGCTGTATCAATTCAAGCTGTTGGCCAGCAGTCCAGTGATGCACAAAGCCAGAAATCTCAGAGCTACGGGAATTCAAGACCAAGTGAGGAGAGGGCAGCCTGACACGGCAATACAACATTATTTAGAAGAGAATGCATAATWTCCAGTGGTAGCAAAAGCATATGTACAGATCACTGCACTAAAACTAAATCAAGTGGACGATTAATYAAAAAGTGAATGATAAATGTCAATCAGATAAAATGGAAAGGGTCTGAGTTCTAACATAGAACTCAAACACCAGAGCTAGTACAGTTGAGTCTATATTTTGCATTTTTATATACAGTTCAGGTGTGCAAAAAAATAGAATGGACAACTTTAACAATGTTTTCTTTAAAATGAAGATAAATCACCTTTGATGCAAAGTAATGATTTTTGACATAAAATCTTTAGCATTGAACGGTTTGACAGACCCTCCTGAATCGGTGTATGTTCGTTCTTTGGTTTTTTCGTTTCAAAATAAAATTGCAAAAACAAAACAAGCATGTGATTTTTGTTTTTTCTGTTTCAAAATAAAATTTCAATAAACAAAACAAGCACGTGATTTTTTTGTTTTTCTGTGTTTAAAACAAAATTAGAAAAATGGCAATTGCAAAAATAAAAAACGGGTATGTTTTTTTACTTACTGCAATGGTTAAACCAAAGACAAGCTTTTACATTGAATTGCTGTTTATCCCAAAATCTACAATTAAACCATGACTTCATTCTGTATGTATTATAGGTACGTGAAGGTAATAGGTATGACATAAATGTACATTGTTTATYATTATGCCTCCCATTTTCTCATCATTTTATTGTTTTGGCCTGCAAGGGGACCCCTGCTGGTCCGTTACTGTAATACACCATGTATARACAATGGCTGTGTCCAAAACGGCAGGGTGGGTCCTCCGAAGGTCGA